GACCGGTGGGGGCGGGATGGGGGCGTGGGCCCCGGCAGGCTGCTGCCGGGCCTGGACGGGCGTGCGCCCGGGTGCCCGGCTGCGGACTGGGAGCCTCCGGTGTGTTGGTGGGCTGTGGGTCTTACTGGCTGGGTGGTGGGTGTGGTTGGTGGGGTTGGGGTTGGACCGTGGGTGGAGGGGGTGGACCTAGCCTGGGTGTCTAGTGTGTTATATGTTCTGAGAGTTATCTGAATGTTGGGGCGCATGTAGAATTTGTTCTGGGGTGGGGATAGGGTGGATGGGCTGTTGGTGCCGGCCAGTGGATGTGCTGGGCCGGTTGGCTGGCCCTTCTGCTGCGGCGGGGCTTGTCTGGGTGCCTCCTTGCACTGTCGATGGTTGGGTTGGCGCCTCGGCCAGATCGCCTGTTGGGGTTCAGTGGCCTCTTTGGGTGGCGGGCTGGCTGTGGGGCTGGGGGTCGGTCCCGGGGGGTCTGGGCAGCTCTGGAGTGGGTGGGCTGTGGGTTCGGGCTCTGGTGGTCCTCTGGGCTCTGTCCGGCCTTGGTCTTGGCCCCCTGGCCTGGCAGTGTGTCTGGACGAACAGCCACATGGACCTCAGTCCCTGGATGGATCTCGGCAAGCAGGGGGGTCTACTGGAGTCAGCGGAGGAGCTGGCTCCCTATGGGAGCATTTTTGCTCCCCGAGTAGTTTTTCTCCCCGTCTCTCACCACATACCCCCACCCTCTTCAATTACAACTTCATTCATGCAGGGTTCTGGGGAACAGGCTAGCTGCCTAGACCCCAATTTTATTACACACTCTAGACACTCACTATAACATCTTCATGACATTCACATATAGGAACTGTGGATTTGGGGGGGGGCACTCTATGACCACCGATATCTGTGCCCTCCCCCAATAGCTGCACGTGACACTTAGGGGTTGGGGTGGAGTTGGGGTGGGGGAAAACTGGCATCCCGCCAGCCTCTGCCCTTCTTCCTCTCCTTTTAACTACACTATAGAACAACTCGCATAAATAGCACATTTGAGGGTGGGGGTGTGTGTGTCGGGGTCTTCTTTCATTTATTTATTTATTTATTTATTTCTCACTCCCCCGTTTCCCGACTGACGTCTGGGTGTTGGGCCCTGGTGGGGGCACGCCACCGGGTGGGGGCCTGGACTGATGGTGGACTGGGAGCTTGTGGGGGCGCAGGGGGTCGGGCTTGCACTCTGGCTTCTCTGGAGCTGCGTGGACTCCAGGGATGTGGCTCCTGGTTGGTGTGGTCTGCCCGCTGGCCGGGGTGGTCGCCGGGTTCCGGCGGGTGTCAGCTGAGGGTGTACCCCTGGCCGCTGGCAGTGGTTGGGGGATGGTCAGGGCATGGCCTTGCTGGGGCGGGGGTGGCCGGTCGGGTCGGCACGGTCCATGCCGGGGCTTGGCCGTCTGCTCCTCTCCACCCCAGGACAAATGGGTTTACCTCCTGGGTTCGGGTGTGGACCGCCCTCTGTGGGGGGCGGGGGCATGCCCTGGACCTGGGGGGTATAGAGTGTGTATTGGGAGTGTGAATGGAATGTGGTGCCTAAGTTGCATGTCTTTGGATGAGTGGGTGCGAGGATGGGGGTGGGATTGTATGATTGTGTTTGTGTATGCATGGGTATGTGTCAGGCTGGGACGTGGACTTCCCCCTCCCCTGGTTCGTTTGTCGCCCCCATCCCATACCGCCCTCTGGTGGGGGTGCCTTGCCTGCCGGCGCGCAGGTGGCTCTTGTGGGCTGGGGCTGGGTGCTCGGGTGTGCGCTGGCTCGGCCTGGTGGCTGCCTGTCGGGGCTTGGGTCCCCTGTCAGCTCTCGGCTTGGGGTGGGGGGGGCCTGGGGGTCAGGCCTTCTGTGCCTATGCCCGTGCTTGCCCTAGTGCAGCGGGGGGCAGCGGGGGCCTGCGTGCTCGTCGCTGCGGGCCGCTGTGGGGCTGCTGCCTGTGATCACTGGTGGGGTTCTCCTGGGTCTCCCCTATGGTTTGACCTGGGGGTGGGTGTGCGGCTCTCCTCGCGTAGGTGTACCCGGGGGCCCGGTGCTTGGGGTTCCTCCTGGGGTCGTTGGCTCTGGCCTCCCCTTATGTCTACCTCGTGCCTTGGGGGTCGGCTCTGAGACTGCCCCGCAGTCACTATTATATATTCCGTTGGAGAAATTCTGTAAATTTATGCTTGCTCACAACCGCACGCAGACAGGTGTTCAGATCCGAGGGGTTGTGAATGAATCACCAGGTATATATAGTTGGGTGTTTGTTTATCTGTCTGAATGTATATGTATGCTTTTGCTAAGTTTTGTAACCTTAATTCTTTGCAGGTGTGCAGACAGATGTTGGATCGATTGTCTTGTTTTCTTGACGTATATCTCACATATCATCAATTCTTTCTTTCACTTTTTTCCATTACATTGTAACTTTTCTTTCCTTTCCTTCTCTTTTCTTTTCTTTCGTCTTATTTCTTGTCTATCTAAAAAAAACACTGATGATGAAGAAGCTAAGATACTAATATTCAGATACAGTATTTAGTACTGCTTTCTACTGAAGTGGTTAAAAAGAGAAAGAAAAAAAGAAAAAAGAATATTAACTACAAATTTGTTGACAGATGTGTTTATTTTTTAAATTATATTTTTCCATTATTTTTATTTGTGCATAAATAAAATCAGTATCTCACTGTGTTGTGACTAC